GCCCCGCTGGTGTTGATTGTCATTCTAGCTTCAGAGTCACACAAATGACATAACTTGTGACCAACAACAGTGTACATCACTCAAGCTCTGGAACCACCTTCAACTAATCGTGCCGTTGCACCACGCTAGCTATAGCTACTATACATAGTATAGTGCCGTATTGCATTCAACATAGCGAATTGCCTCAACCGATTCAGTCACACAAATCATATCACTCAACGTCAGCCATGGGCAAAGAGACTCCTCTTGTGTCATCTCGACGGCTCGCCAATGCCGAAGGCGATCCTGTCGCTGTTGTCCGCGTTCGAAATCTCCAAACGACTATCCAAGGACCCAAAGATGCTTGGGGTCGAGGTTCTAAGCAGCAACCTCTTCTGATATCCGCCGAGGTGTCACTGACGCATGCGTTCCCCTCCTCGTCATCAGACGACAAGGTCGCTTCCGATACCGTTCACTATGGGCTCCTCAGCAAATCTATCCTCAGCACTCTGGAGAAGTTGCCCAGGTCAGCCCTGTCGTTGAGCGATGTGCTCAACAGGCTCTGGGTTGACCTTACTGGTTTCCAGTACACTGGCGTGAAGGAGCCTTCCGCCCAAAACACAAAGGCTTTCCTCAACATGAGCCTCATACGAAGGCTCTCAGTCTCGCTCGTCCTACCCAAGGCCTCATTGATGGGAAGTGCAATCCGACTCTCGGGATCGTGTCTCTTCGCCGACTCAGCCATCACCGCGCGAAGTCTGGAGCTGGGTCTAGAAGGTATCAGAGTGCCGACACTCATCGGTGTCAACAGTAATGAGCGAAACGCGAAGCAAGTCGTCATCACAAACATCCGCATCGACGAATACCAAACCGCACACGATGACTATGCTGTCATTGAGAGTATCATTGTTGATGTAAGTATATTATGAAAGGGTTAGTGGACAGACATGTTAATCATCACAAAAGGCCATGTCGGAATCGTCATTCGAAACTCTGGAGGCTCTGGCGGCAAGTCTGGCTTTCCATATTGCCCGGGAACTCAGGACCAAGCGTGACGATTTCTATGGACAAATCATTCGCATTGGACTCGAGAAGCCAACAGCAGTGCCTCTGGCCGAGGCTGCCTGTGTAGAGCTCACGGTCAGAACCGAAGATGTCAAGATCGAGGTCTCTAAGACGAAAGATGTTAGGTTTGATGACACTAGAAACCAGATTGCGCACTCGAATGACAGGAAGTCGTAGTGCACTTGGTCCTAGGTAGAAGTCTGATATGGGGAGTAAAAAGTAGGTCGCATATGCCTATATGGCTACTTGGATGATTATTCCCCTTTCAACTACTCAAGCTCGCTTTGGACAGTCTGCATATGCTGTACCCGAAGCAGTAGGTAGTATTGATCAACATATATGGCGTTATCAACACGGATGCTTCAGCATATTCAGCTTCTTCCAACAAAGACGAATCGCCGCAAGTGATAACTGTTTAGTGTCCCTCAACACTCACTTGTGAACCTCCATTCCTGCCCGTGGAACGTCTCCCTTGGTGACCTTCCGTACAAAGTCGGGATCGGGGTTGAAGAGCATGACGTGAAAGTGCTGCACGGTATTGACCGATTGCAAAGAATGCCAGTTTCTAAACCAAAGAACCTATGCACATGAGATGAGTCTCACAGATGAAACACCTACAATGACAGGAAAGACTCACATTATCCTCTGGGATATGCGCTCGAAAGGTCTTTGTCACGAAATCATCAATCTCTTTTCTTGCCATGTCCGTCAAATCTCCTGTGGCGGGATCTTCTACGAGGTCGAACTTTGTCCACACGACAAGGTGCGCTATTCTCGGGTCTATCCCGTAGGGGGCATCATTCCATAGGATTCTATAATCGTCCTCGAATTCAAACGGTGCTCCGCGCGGCGTCACTGGAGTACTCCATCCAAGACGGTGTTCATGGATAAAGTTGGCGACACTGCCGTACTTCTGTTTCAGATGGAACGCGAAGGCTTTGTAGCGTCTAAGCTCTGAGGGAACACGCTTGAACTTCTCTAAGCGGTTTGTTTGGATGATGTCGCGGACCTCGGCCCAGGAGAAGATGTGGTACTCTTGGTCTGGGGTTGAGAGAATGCCTTGATCTTTCTTGTGGACGCCTCGGAGAAAGTCAGGACACTCTTCGGTTCTCTGGTCCTCAGGGATGTTCATGTTCCAGAAAGGAACAGTTTCTGTGCTCCCCATGGTTTCTAATGTTGAGTGAGATGAAGTTACGGTGAGACGGACTCTTCGTATTATTGGTGATTATATGGAGAAATGGAGGTGCAATTCTCAGCCCAGTTGTTTCCGGTGAAGGAATCAGTTTCAGCGTTACTTGAAGTTGATTGTCTCTTTGCCCAATATCTGGTCATGCGACGTGTTCTTGTAAGGTATAAGTTCATGAAGGGTTGAATGGTATGGCTGCGTCTCCACAGAGGGATGCGCCACAGATAGAGGGTGATAATGCAGAGAGGCACGTAAAACATGTCTACTTACAACATGTCTAGTCTGCCGGTCATTGTGTTATCTTAATTCTTACAAAATATACATCGGGCATCGTTATCAAGTTATCTATGATAAACAAGTGTTGTTTTTGTAATCGATTCAGGCCAAGTTTCTCAATTGTTACTCCGTCCTCAAGTACATAGAAATGTCTAAACGGGCCACTCTCGGGACAAACTCCACTATAACGGCCTATAAAAGGAGTTAGAGGTCCGGTGAGCCACCGCAATGCATATGATTGTCGTTTACGGTGTAGCTTCCGTGGTTGTGGAGGAGCTGTCAAGAAGCTCAGAGAAACAACTGACGTGAAACTGATACCTTCAGTGCTATCCGCCTTACCTGGCCTTACTTGTAGTTAATATCTGTGCCAGTATCCGTAAGATGGTGGTAAATCTAGGGTAGGTAGGTAGCAAAATGAAAGTTCAGCCTCTTATCCAATGCCAAGGCCACGTGGAGAGATATATGGCAGGTCGAGGCTTGCATGGTCTCCATCTACTGAATGATTGGCCACGGAACGGAACGGGAGAGGCGTTATGTGAGCTGGGCTCCAAGTGTTCCAGATCTTGTTGAAATGTCAATGGTTACCTATGCCTACGACATTACTTCCGGTCTTCTGATACATAACAATCATAACGCTGACTCTCTCTTCAACCTTGTAAGCAAGAATAGGCATATTGCAGGGAGATCGACCGACGTAAAGATAGCGTCAAGACTAGCCATGATCAACCTCGTTGCATCCACTTCTGCTCATTTCGACTAGGCCCAAGCCTGTGAGGATCCAATAAAACAGCCAATTACAGAGCCGAGATACTTGCTGTGTCTGGGCGTGAGCTTTGGGAGCTTTGGCCCGTTCCTCATCCTCAACTATGGTTCACCGTAAAAGGAGCTTTGGACCCTGGGGCATAAGAGATATCGATCACCTAGTTGTTGAACCAAGGCAAATAGATGTCCCAAAAGAAGCAGAAATTCACTCAGAGTCAGGTGTAATGAGCGGTTTGTTTGCATTCGGGAGGCAAATAGTAGGATCTTAATGAGGGATATCATGATGGTGGCGGCACACCAAGAAAAATCAACCATGATACCACCCAATCTTGTTCAAGGTTGCCTGTTTCCCTTATTCTTAGTTATTCACATTCTCGGCTACCCGCTTGTCTGTGCATTGTGTCCGTACATACCTACGTACTCAACTGACTGCAACATCATATCTGCAAAGGACCGATCTCGAACATTCAGCCTTCATGGAGCAAGTATAGAGGAGGATGCTAAAATAAACTCAGTGAAGAGCCCCCTAAGTTTAGCCTAGAGGTACCTGACATTTTTATCATTAAGGATAGAGGCTCCCCTAGCCAGTCTCACCAACTTCGCACGTTGAGTGCTAATAATACCAGCAATAAATGGATACTCCGTACCTCTCAAGAAGAAATGGGAAACAAGATAATACCAGGGATCCTGGCTGGTTGGCCCGCCGCAAGCCTACAAGGTGAGAGATCGCTGGTGCAAGTGGTGAAGTGGTGGGGTTTAATCCCCGTGGTATGGGTATCGTGAAGGTGAGGAGAAATGATCAATTACGACAACTCGATGATACGAGATGTGATGATAAACAACAATAGGGGAGACGAAGGCACTATTGAGCCTCATATCATCTTCACCGCAAGCCATCAATCATAACTACCTAGGTAGTCGGTAAGGATGAACAGGGACGGGTTAGTTACCAGAGCATGGGAACAAGCCTCCATTCCCCAACAGCCAGGGAAGAAAAAAACAAAACACATGGATGGGAGCTGAGATGGCCTAGACCAGGTAAGGTACCTAGGTAGGTGCAGTACGGTATCTCCAGTATCACCGAGTTAGTAGACCGTCTGTCTGTCTGCTCGACCATTGCGAGCTGAGTTGTCACCGCAAGTCTAGGAATCTCGCCTCCTATGTTACCCAACCTTTACTAAATCTGCACCAACAAAAAGAGAGGCAACTGCTGGAAAAGGACAAGAAGCAGAATCAGTTGAGAGTGCAAGACAGAAAAAAAAACACAAAAAACCCCAAATCGACTCGACGTCACTGTTGCACCTCAGATTGCAGAAAAAGTGTCAATAGTTCTAGACTGCTGTTGCTGTTCGGCTTCTTTTGTCCGCCTAAGAAAAAAGCTCCCTCGCCACCCCCACCAAGTCTACAAGCAACAGCTGCAAGCCCGGCATCACCGCCCCGCATCTAACTCTACTCTGGCGCGCTGTTGCTGGTGCTGGTGCTGGTGCTGGCCTCCCCTTTCCCTCTCGCTCCCGTTCGTTTATTAGCTGCTTGACCTGCTTGACCTGGTTACCTTGATTCATTCCTCTCCTCTCTCTCTCCCTCTCCCCATTAACAACTTCTTGATCCTTCTCCTCTTTCTGCATCCTCCCCAAAGGCTATCTATCTACTCCCTCTCGTTGGCTTCCATCGTGCTACTCTAATTTCACCTTATTAATATTCTCCACGATTCGACCGACTGACTCCGTTCGCAATGGCCAGTGCTATCAAGAGTGCGCTGCCTACCCACCTCAAGCCCAACAGCGGCGATGAGCAGGGCAATGAGCGTCGTCATGGCAAGACGCGCAGTCACATGGTGAGTTGGTGTGAATCAAGATTCTGCTTCACCTCCCCATCATCACATGCCACATTATACAAAGCAGATGCGATTGCGTGCCTTTGTTCGCTCACGGCGAAGCTTCACTGTATCTCAAAAGCTTCATCGTGACGCTCATCATCAGTCATATGGATGTCCAGGCACTTGACATGGCTGCAAACAGGCTCGCGCTTCCACATCTCTTCACATCTGCCACATGGACTTGGTTACGGCTCGCGCATTCACTCGAAGCTTGATGGCCTTAAAGTTCCTCGATGAGGGTGCGAAGCTGCGTCCTTCTCTCTTCCCAACACACAGCCTGTATCGTATTTTTACCATAAACAATACTAACGCATCATGCTCCAGGCTTTCGAGAACACCTCCACCAACGTCGCTGCTGCTCAGATGCGAAATGCTCTGACCAACCTCGCCGAGACCGTCAAGGATCCCGAACAAAAGAAGGCAAGTCCTTCAAACCGAAACATGTGATGCCTGACTCAGCCAAGACTAACCAGACGACAGTTGTTCGAGACTGAGATGGACAATTTCTTCGCCCTTTTCCGACGATACCTTAATGACAAGGCCAAGGGCAACGCCGTGTATGCCTCCCTCCCGACCAGATATATACCACAATACGACGGTTGCTGACGATAGTTTAGAGACTGGGATCGCATTGCCCCTCCCGCTCAGGGTCAGGTCGTCGATTACGAGGATCTGGCCAACACCGAGTCTGTCCAGTTCCTCAACAAGCTGGCTGTTCTCAAGCTCAATGGCGGTCTGGGAACCTCCATGGGCTGCGTCGGCCCCAAGTCCGTTATTGAAGTCCGTGACGGCATGTCCTTCCTCGATCTTTCCGTCCGACAGATTGAGTACCTGAACCGTACCTACGACGTTAACGTCCCTTTCATTCTCATGAACTCCTTCAACACAAATGACGACACTGCCGCCATCATCAAGAAGTACGAGGGCCACAACGTCGATATCCTTACCTTCAACCAGTCTCGATACCCCAGAGTGTACAAGGACTCTCTCCTCCCCGTCCCCAAGCATAACGACTCTCCCATCAACGAGTGGTACCCCCCCGGCCACGGTGACGTTTTCGAGTCTCTTTACAACTCTGGTATTCTCGACAAGCTTCTCGAGCGAGGCATCGAGATCATCTTCCTTTCCAACGTCGACAACCTGGGCGCCGTCGTCGACCTTCGCATCCTCCAGCACATGATGGAGACAAACGCTGAGTACATCATGGAGCTCACCAACAAGACCAAGGCCGACGTCAAGGGTGGTACAATCATCGACTACGAGGGCTCAGTCCGTCTCCTCGAAATTGCCCAGGTACCCAAGGAGCATGTCAACGAGTTCAAGTCCATCAAGAAGTTCAAGTACTTCAACACCAACAACATTTGGCTCAACCTCAAGGCCATCAAGCGTGTGGTAGAGAACGACGAACTCGAGATGGAGATTATCCCCAATGGCAAGACCATTCCTGGTGACAAGAAGGGCGAGTCCGATATTTCTATCGTCCAGCTGGAGACCGCTGTCGGTGCGGCTATCCGTCATTTCAACAACGCTCACGGTGTCAACGTTCCCCGTCGACGATTCTTGCCCGTCAAGACCTGTTCCGACTTGATGCTCGTCAAGTCTGACCTCTACACATTGAAGCACGGCCAGCTTCAAATGAGCGCCGCTCGCTTCGGTGACGCGCCCCTGATCAAGCTTGGTGGTGACTTCAAGAAGGTCTCAGACTTCCAGAAGCGAATCCCCTCCATTCCTAAGGTGCTGGAGCTGGATCACCTCACCATCACCGGTGCCGTCAATCTTGGCCGCGGCGTAACGCTCAAGGGCACTGTTATCATCGTCGCGACAGAGGGCAGTACCATCGACATCCCCCCTGGATCGATCCTTGAGAACGTGGTTGTCCAGGGTAGCTTGCGCCTACTCGAACATTAAATTGGGAGCTTGTTTGGATGTTGTATGGTTCTGTGGCAGACTGTCGCAGGGTTTTAACTTGTCACGACCTCTCGAGGTGCATAAGATGGACAGCGCATAGGCAGATATGTGATGAGGCTTGAGAGTTGGAATTTTTATCCTATGGTATGGAAGAAGAGAGGCGATGTCTCCGAATTGGTAGACATAGGAGCCTGATTCAAGCGTCATATTGAACGCTTGCTGGGAGGGTATGGAGGATAAGGTACACTTTGAGTATGTACGTACTTGGCAAAACAGCATTAGCTTGATACCTATACATAGGTACAGCACATTTTTAATTGAAAAGGACAAATGACAATTTCTCAACAAATGAAGGGTCTCAGGGAAATGTGCCGGACAAGGTCGTCGACTCATGTTGGGACACGCCACATCATCTAACTTAGCACTGTCGATTATTAGACAAAACCAGTCTTTGTATTAGTGGCGTTTCCTTGTAAATGGGGCTCTGATGGAGCCGATAAGCCCATAGCCGGCAGGCCTATCCTGATTTCGGACCAGATCTTAACCTTAAATCTTGTACGGAGTACCTAGGTTTGCAATTACGGTTTACCAGCCCCTCTGGCTTGTTCAAGCTTCAGGTCATCGTCGTTCATCGGACGCATGACGACGACGTTGAGGATAGTCTGCTTCTGTGCTAAGTCTTTGTGAGGCACAGTCGTATTGGAAAAGTCTATTCATCCTGGCTGGGGTGGCAGGGTGGCTTACCCGTACTGCCGAACGTCTGAGAGCAGGATGATGGTGTCAAAACACCAGGTTGTTTGAAAGTGAGACGCGGGGCGAAGGGTCTGTTTCGACCCAGGAGGCTGGAGGATCATAGCACAAGACCGTTTACAACCCTTTGCCTGTTTGCTATCTCGATGTGACGCCTATGGCCTATCGCAAACGCTAGCAAAGTGAAATCAAAGGACTTAGATCGGCACTCATGACGTTCCACATCAATGAGGCATTTCCTTCGATCTTGAGTACCGAACCAGGGTCGTGGAAAGCTTCAACGCACTGCGCACTAAAAACAGCTACCCATCTCCGTAAGGTTTGAATCCTACCCTGAGTGAGGAGTCATGATCCGAGCCAATGGAACTCTCCAAGGTGAAGACATTTTTAGCACGTTTGATATGATAATATTCCCAACCGAATGCCCAGCCGGAAAATCCGGGCCCAGATGAGTCCTGAGAATGATATAGGAGATAGGGGATGGTAAAGACATCCATCCCATGAATAATATCGTGAGAGCTTGGCGAGAATATGAATCCTCAACCAACCAAGGCTGTAAGCCTGTGGCCATCCGACTTCTCGAATCGGTCTAGTTCGGAGAGGGTGGCCCCGTCGTTCCATTCCATCGAGCGGCAATGCACGTTTGCATATTGTTTGTGGGGTTGAGGGAGATTGTGTGAAGAAGGGGAGCGCGCTGTTGGTTAATGCGAAGTCCGACTGGCCTAAAAGCAAGGCCAAAAGTTGGGGACCCCAGCCTGATTACCTCCTGGACCATCTGTGATAATGCCTGCAGTTGCAATTCATGGCTCATTGACCAGGAAAGTGCCTTTGATCCTGTACTCCGTAGGAACTTCTGAGTTATCATGCAATGTCCTCATGCCTTGGCAGATTTGACTTTTACCGCAGGTAACTCGGGCGGTGTTTCTGAGGGTCAATAGTACGGGGGAAGGCGAGACAGTAAACAGAGAAAAGTCTTGCTTCAGCCTACAAGGCTGTGTGTGCCCAGACCCTCTGGATCGTCGTGGAAGAGACACTCATGGGTCACATTACGGCCATGCTCGGTAAGACTCACGGTTGCAAAACAATAGCCGCTGATGGCCATCTGTTGAGCCGTGGTGTGGCGGAGGCCATCTACGACTAGTTGAGGTGCAGTTTTTTCATGCACCATTCATGCTGTCGCTCACTCTTGTGCTCCCCAGCCTTTCCCTCGAGCAGTGAGGGGATGTGTCTGTATCGACGCCAACGAGCTTAGGATGAAGCTTCTACGACCGTCCATCGAGTTCAAGCCACAAAAGCAACGTCAACAATGAACATGCCCGCCTAGAAACCGCTGCCATGATCGACGAACCATATCGGTCTGTATTACCATTGCAGAAGGCTGGAGAGACGCTATCCCCATCGCACTTACATAGTGCATAGTGCAGAGTTAGTTGGGCTTGATGGAAAGAATGCATGGTACGTACGCTATTGCGTACTTTGTTGACTTACGTAGCCATCAATGTTAAGCAGCCCGCCAAGGTTCGGGGAATGTATTCCATTACGTTCTCTTGCCCTCCTGTGTGTAAGTGATGCCATCACATTCAACGCTGCTATTGCCTGGCAGGAATATGCCACGCTTGGTGATCCATTGGTGACGTGTAGTTGAGCGAGCATGTGAATAATTTGCATGATGGCGTCTGTTTGTTGTCTCTGCTGCCCAACATTCAGCTGTAGCAACGCAGCCATAGCGGGCGCCATCAACGGGTAATGATTCACTCTAATTTACAGCCACCTGGGTAGAGACACACACATTAGGTAGCCAACGTAATAACATTTTGATGTGACGCTATAGGCGCTGAGATGGCGACCCCTAATTGTGGTCTACTATCGCGGAGAATTTGATTCGAAGTTTGGTCAATGCCGAGAACGCCGCTTGATCAATATTTCCAAGAAACCTGCAAGAGTCATGGCAAACTCCCAAGTGCTTGCAGGGAAGGTTTTCAATTGAAGCTCGTCATTGGGACTATTGAGAAGCCGGGGGGGCAAAGTCATTAAAGTACTTCCCAATACGGTAAGGTGACCACGCCAGGGATTACCAAGTTTCCAATAGCGGCCAGCATCCAGACCGCCGATGAAGGAGCAGAGGAGAAACAACTGCAGCAACCGACATGCTGAGATTTTCCGGATGTTGTCCAGAACCGTTAAGGACAAGGGTCCTGATGTAGCTATGCTCCACGACTACGATTTAAAGGGTTCATTGCATGTGCTGTGAAAGTGAATGAGAAAATATTGAGAGAGATCATGTCATGCTTAAAAAGACTGTGTCGTTGATTGTTGATATGTTGAATCAGGCACAAAACCATCTCATGAAATCAATACATAACTGAACAAAGACACGGCTGACTTGGCCAGCTCGCATCGCATCACATCGGGGAGCTTACGACAGCATGTCTGGCAGTGGTAACCTAAATCATGGCGGCTATCGCTGCTAGAAGGATAGGGTAGCTGGCCTCGCCCTCCGAGAGTTGGTCTGTATGCACTATGCAGTGCAGCAGCTCCGGTATACGCCGGAGAGGCGCGGTTAAAAAAGTGTGCTGCTGCTGTGACCACTGCCAGACTAAGGCAAGGCTGACAGGAAACCCTTGATAAGGCCTAGAACGAGTCGAACTGGGGACTTGGCCGGAGGGAAAAGGACTTGCATAGATCAAAGCTCGCCTGAGGACTGAATTAGAATGCCAATTCCCCCCAAAGGTGACCGCTAAAGACCTGCGACATGAATGAATTGAGGTCGTCAGGGGGGCAAGGCTCGGTGCAAATAGAGCCTGGAAGTCAAATTGTGATGGATCGAGGTCTCATGTCGCTAATGATGCTTGCTTGGCTTCGTGGGCGCGTGCCCGCTCTGGCTGTCAGGCACAGCAATCATCCTAGAGGTTGTCCGTTGGTCTTGCAGGTGGAGCTGGCACATCCCCGTAGCCTGGAGGGCGAATCCACAGGAAGCTTGGAGTTTGCGCCACAAAGGGCATAGCGCTGGCATGCGTAAGGGACGCTAGGACATGGCTAATTTGCGTGGCAGGGATCTGATAGGGTCCGTTCTGATTCGGGAATTGGAAGGCCGTGGCTGGCCTGCCAGTGGATGGAATGTGATGATGTAGCGAGATGGGCCAAGAAAGATTGGCATGGGTTGAGAGAGAGGAAAATGGATTATCGGACCAAGGCAAGCTAGGAGGTATGTACTGACAGGGAAGTGGGGGACGGGGTCCTTTGGGTGAAAGTGGAAAGAACCTGGAAGGGGAAAAGGGAAATGGAAATGGAAAGCGAAAGGAGGAAGGAGCTCAGAAGAGGAAAGGACGAAGCTCACAATTGAATTCAGTTGAACCTGCGGAAGGCATGTTCAACAACCGCTACCTGCGCTACTACACCTCACTCTTACGCACCCCTCCACCCCCTCTGCTCTGCACATACACCCCGGCCCTTAGTTCGGTGGGATGGGATAGAGTAAGTTGGTGCCATGGTCTCGTGGGATTAGGTTGGATTGGATTGCCATCGGTAGCGTGTGAATGTATCCCCTTTATTGCTCTCAATATTGTCACTAGCTCTGCGTTCCCTTCATTATAATAAGCCTCCCTCCTTCTCTCGAATCTCCCTCCTTCCTTCTTCTCTATCAACGCCTCAGTCAATTCGCTACTTCGTTGTGCCTATTTCCCACTACCTAATGTAAGTTGCTATCTTCTTCAGCCTTTCCCTATATGGACAACATCCACATATATCCAACTTCGTGTGCCTGGGATACGTAGGAAGAAGGATGCACGTAAGTGCAATGCAATACAGTTTGGGCAACAGCTCCAGTAATGGATTGAAGTCAAACAAGCTGGCACCAGCCGGCACTGTCAACTGCTGGTGACATCGAATCAGCCTCAGCAGCCCACACACTGCCTATGGCTTGTTCACACAACTCTTCGTTCAGCCTCGTACACCCAACTCGAACATTGCAGCATCATCACACACGCCATTTGCTCATAGTCTCGCTACTATTTACGATTTATCGAAACAGTATTCCAGAAACAATAACTAACCCGCCTGGTAGTAATACTCAGTCATTCTTTCAACCACACACCAAATCTCACCAACCTTCAAAATGAAGTACACTCTCGCTACCATTGCTGCCCTCGCCTCCGTGGCCCTGGCTAAGCCTGCTTTCCTCAACACCGAGTTCGATCTCACTGAGGGCAAGCCTTACACCATCAAGTACTCTGGCTGTGACGATGGCTGCA